TATATATATATATATATATAGTATATTATATTATAATATATTATATAGATATGGTGTCTGCGCTTTGTGTGTACTTTATTGTTTGTAGTATGTCCAAATACCCATTGGTATATACTCGTCATGATGTCCTTTCAGGGGGCTGGTTGGCTGACAGCGTGCGCTTGTATTACGCACCCAATGACGTGCACTCGTAATCCGATCAGTTCTCGTATCTACCACTACTTGTATTATGTACGTTTATATACCTACTTATACCTACCTACACCCAAGCATAATCCTATTTTGGTATATACTCGTACTCTTGTCGACAGGGGGCTGGCTGGTTGGAGCGTGGTGGTTGTTATGTAACCGCTAACATCAGAGGCGGAGGCGAATACGGCCCGAAATGGCACCGCAGTGCTCTGAGAGAGAAGCGACAGAACGCGTACGACGACTTCATAGCTGTGGCAAGGGACCTGATAGCACGTATGTGTGTATTGGTCTATTTGTTGAACTCGTGCTGTGTATCTGGTGTATGGCTTATATATATATATATATATGTGTGTGTATATGTGTATGTATATATATGTGTGTGTGTGTGTGTGTGTGTGTGTGTGTATGTATATATATGTATATGTTTGTATGTTTGTATGTATGTATTTATATGTATATATGGCTATTGGTATGGATATCTAAACCGTGCTAATTCGGGAAGCACGGGTGTGGAAGATTTTATTATCATTCCAGCAACAGGATCTTTCGGATGTATCTAACTCAGAAAATATACTAACTTCAGCAACAGAGGGGATCTAAAACCCTAAACCCTGAACCCGTAACCCTAAATCTTCAACTACAGAGGGGATCACGTCTCCAAAGCATTTGGCAGCTAGAGGGGGGTCGAATGGTGGCCTTTTAATGGGCAACATGCTGGTGCAACAACCCAAGGTTAGCCCCTACTGCGAGTCATATATGCTTTTATGTATAGTACATGGAGACCTTAAAACCCTAAAACCCTAAGCATGCCTTATTGAGCGATGCATGACATGTGTGACAGAAGGACAGTTCGCGAAGTGTTTGCGAATGGGGCCTGCTCGTGGGTAGCGGTGCAGGTATTGAGAACCCTAGTCAGGGTTCACAAGAAACCCTGAAATCCTAAACTACCACGTGCCGTGTTAGCTATACATAGGTACATGGCACTGCAGCGTAGTTTTTCACACGTGTGATAAATAGTGTGTCTCAGCTATTTAAGGTTCCAGGGTTTAAGGTTTAGGGGTTATCTAGTGGGCAGTATCTGAGAGAGTCTACGGTACTAGTACTGAATGCTGTTCCCTGGTATACCCTAAGCCATGTGAGTGGTATTTGTATATGAATGTATTGGTATATAATTATAAATGTATTGGTATTTAAATATAAATGTATTGGTGTTTAAATACAAAAGTATTGGTCTTTAAATATAAATGGATTGGTCTTTAAACATCAATGTATTGGTATTTAAATATAGATGTATTGGTATTTAAATATCAATTTATTGGTATTTAAATATCAATTTATTGGTATTTAAATATCAATTTATTGGTATTGGTGTAGAAGTCATGTTCGTGGTAGGTATATAAAAATGGGTATCTGTGACCCTCGTACTAATCGATCAAGATTCTATTATAGTTATATTTGTAATTAGGTCGATCGTAACGTGTGAGCTTAGCACACGTACATGTCACTATATCGTAGTTACGCACATGATACATGGCCAGTGGTCCTAATGTGCAGGCCTCCTAGTGGTCTAGGGTTTAGGTTTTCGTGGTCAATCGGTACCTACCAAGAAACCTGTGTGCATCTCGCCTGTGTGCGTAGAATGGCATCGTCGACCAGCAGTGCGGCCGACAAACCCAGACGTGCACTGACTGACCTGTCCTCTTTAATTGTCCACCATAGGGACTGTGGGGTGCGATACACTGTGCGGTGCCTCTGCTGGACATGCGCAGGTATCACACTCTTCTGGCGGGCGCTAGTTGGATGGCTGAGTACGGTAATCCCGACACAGCCGATTGGGACGAATTCCTGCACAAGTACTCTGCATACCACGTCTTGTTGGAGATGACTGGACAGGGGTAAGACAAACGTTACACATGATTACCTACAGGCCTATTCATGTCCACACCTTGTGTTGTGTTGTGTTGTGTTCTGCCATATTCTTATTCTAAACGACGTGACTACGTACAGTCATAGCGGCGTTCGCGAATCTCCACTACATTGCCCACACTTTATGGCTTGGTATACAGCAAGCCTCAGTCGTACGTTCGGTCGCATACTACAGTACAACCAGCCGACTACTATATATTCGAACAGTAGTCTCATAGGCGGTACATGCCTCTGCGCACCTGCATGGCGCTGATATCAGACAACAGCATAGTGATTCTTCTCACCCCACCCATGTATCTTCTGCTACATAGCTCTGGCGAACAGGCCCAAGACTCGTTCAGCGAGAGTGTGATCGACACTCCCATCCTCTTCACCACAAGCACTCGAGACGATAGGGTGCACCCCGCACACGCACGCAAGATGGTGAAGGCCCTGGTGGATGCGCAGAGTAAGCAGGGTTGTGTAGCATCCCCTGTGTACTACTATGAGAATATTGAGGGAGGCCATAAGGGAGCGGCCGATAACAAGCAACAGGCCTTTATGCAGGCGCTTACCTACGAGTTCCTGTGGAAGACTGTGGGTCCCGATGCTAATGTGGACTAATATCGAGTGGGCTGGGGATCTGGTGCTAAGACTGAGTTTTGATTGAACTTGTGAGTTTGATGTAGCAATGGACTGAGAGAGCTCGTTGATGTACCTTGAGAATAATCCAAGACGTTTGTTGGTATTATGACTAAGTAGCTGCCAAGAACTAGTAGTGTGCCTCTAAGCTGACTCTCGCCGTTAAATTCATATATGAAAATGCCGTGCATGATAAGTTTGCGGAGTTGGTTGTGTTGGTAGATATATATATATATATAAATATATACTAGTATTGGGTTGGATCTACGCTGGATATATAGGGGGAATTTAATGGAACCTGCAGCGACACTTAACTTAGCAATAAATCATGAGGCGACACTTTTCGCAGTGTTTGCTTTGGAGCACAAAAACATATGCCTTGGGTCCGAGTCCTAGCATTGTCTCTGTATTGATTGCATGTTTTCTCATGTGATTCAAGTAGGTCGCAAGGGCAAACCTGAGAAAAATAGCTAGTTTTCAGTGTTGAAATAGCTAATTGTCAGTTAAAATGGCTAATTATCAGTGTCAAAATATCTAATCATCAGTGTTAAAATAGCTCATTGCCAATTAAAAATGCTAATTATCAGGGATTTCTTTGTTCGTGTGCTGAGCATTTTCAATGATCATCTATTCGATTATGTTCGTAATTATTGTCAATTCAGCATTTGAGTTCGATTGTATTTCATTATTTTGTGGAAACAGTTCATTCTTGTCAGTACAACTATTATTAAATAATGTCCGTTACAATCTAAGCAGTGTTTTTCTACTCCAGACCACCAATTTCAGTCGCTGTTTGACACTACAATTTGGATTAGAACACAGCCTGGCTTATGTCCTTGTCCTTTTCTATCTATAATAATTACTATGTCCTTCCGAATTGTGAATTGCTTTCCTATCTTTTACCTTGCTCCCAGTTTATTGATTTCCTGTTTTTGGTATGAATAGATACTGGGAGGTGTAGAATCGTATATATAGGCCAAAAGCAGAAATTCGATTTTCTCTATCGACTCGTATCGACTCGGGGTTTATATAATTATCTGACTTGCTGGGCATGAAATTCGGGGGGAGGGGAGGGGGAGGGTATAATTATTAATAGAATGAATGTGAAGTCCACATTGTTCCCAAATGTATTCAAGAAACTGCATATTCAAATTTAATATATCCCACTTTCAAAGCGCAACCCAATTTTCTTTTGAAGATGGACGCGTGTTTCTGTATAGTGTATCTGAAGTATAGGTATATAAAAAATATGTATTAAAACGGTACTGTACTATAGTGTGGAGAATAAGAGCTATAATAATCAGATCTGATTGAGTAATACTGATCTGCTACCTGTGTTGATATACAGTTCATAGTGCTGATTCGATTTATATTACGTTTCATAAACTGTTTTAGCTGTGGGCTAATCCTGTTCTGTTGTAGGCCGATGATATGAATTTTAGTATATCACAGAGGTGATTTTCTGTATTATGAATTTACGGCTTGCAGTGCGCCACCTATTAAATATCGGGGGTTTTTTTTTGAATAATTGGGTTGTTGGCTGTACCGGTGATGGTTAAGCCATGCGACATCCAATCTCACAAGATTCTCCATTTGCGCACGTTACTGAGAAACATACTTGCGTTAGTTGAGTTGCGTTCATATAGAACGGAGCAGACTCTACATGATCTAAAATTGTCGAAGTCGTTGGCTGCATCGGTGACGAGTTAGCCATTCGACATCCAATCTTACCTGATTATCACTTTGTGCATGTTGCTGAGATACGCACTTGCGTTAGTTAAGCTGTTTGAGTAATATCATGTAGAATGAAGCAGGCTCTTCAGAATTTGAATTTTTCGATGGATGTGCTGCTAGGTTCTTGGTGCGTTTACAACGTACGGATTGCTACCATGGATTTCTGGTGAAGATTGGTTGCAATTTCTTCGATCGTTATCGTACAATCTTCTGATCTTGATTGCAACAAGGTACAAGATCGCAGGGTACGAGTTTGTGGTATTGATTTAATAGTATTCATGTTGTTATGTATTATACGATGGTTCGCTATCGTCTATATGACCTCTGTGTCGTTGTCTGTGATGTATGTCTGCGTGTTCAGAGTTGTATAAATGATAAACGAGTCAATTTGCGGTGTAAAACTTAACTTTGGTGTTATGAAGGGGAAAATATCGTCAGTACAAAAGCCCATGGGATCTGATGAAGATTGCTTGAGTCCTTCTAAGGATTTGTGTTTCTTGGTACATATGTATCTACAGGGTCTTTATTTGATGATAATTCGCTGGATGGCCACTCGTATATTCGACCTATATCATACACTGAAATCTCATTATTTGGGTGATTATACAATGACGTACTTACATGAGAACCAATTATACGATACAATGCTTTAGATAACTTGTCATATTATATTGTTTTTGAATACTAGTATGCAGGTGAAAGTGACCATATAACACGCTTCCATTTGACATTCATGCCTTGGCACTGAACAAACCTTGCCCACAGCTTTCTTTCAACCAATACCGTTTAACGTGGGATGTATGGTATTGTAATAAATGCTCTTGAAATATTGCACTATTCGGTAATATACATCTACGGCGATAACGGGAGGTTCGCACAATAATTTCATTCGCCGTGTTTATTCCGGTATGCTATATTTGTATTTATCTATGCTACATTTTATTTTCATTATATTTTTGCACACCCTACCTAGCTTAGCCATAAGCAAGATGCCAGTGACATAAAAGCTGATTGTAAGAAAATGCGAGACTAGTCCAAAAATGTAGTGCAGCGCATTACTAAATTTAGCTATTTGGCAGATTTGTATCTGAATAAGGGTGTATTGAAGTTCGATCATAAAAAGAGTAGTACAATGAGCTGTAGGATTGCCCGTGCTTCTTAAGATTTTGGATTAGTAACGGTATGGTTATTTTGTTCGCAAAATCAGATTCGTTTATTCTTGTATCTGTCTTAAATTTTACAAGTGTTTGAAAGCTGCCAAAAAGACAATTAAACCGTAATCGGGTCTTTGTTTCTGGTCGGTATTCAAGAATATGAATTCACGATTTGTGGTAAATACTTTGAAGTAATAGTGTGATAAATGATTCAATAACGGCGCAGGCAGTGTTCCTTACACTTTAATTCCTTTCCAGTATAGAATAGTTGTGGGAAATAACTGTGCACTAGCAAACTGTTATCGAATGTAATCATTGAATGGACTCTTACCTGGCTGAATCTGCAAATATGGATCTCCTTCCATACACCCGCTGACAATTATGTTTACGCATATTTGAGTGTGATTTTGGACTTTGACCGATTGCGCGACGTCTGGTGTATTCAATTCTATCGAATTAGCCTGGAGGGGTATATATTGGGTGAGGCCTATCGACTGGACTTGTTTGATAGTGGTTACTGCATCGTCTTCTCGTAACGTTGTATTTGAGAAGAACGTATGCTGCACTTTATGTTGTTTGTATCCTCTCAATAATACCGTCTGTCAGACTTTCAAGTTCCGACTTAAATTCGACTATAGGTGCGATCTCAACATTCTTATAAAGTATTTACGTTTTTTAATATTAAGAGGTATTGATAGACGATGGTGGATCGTAAAGATAAAATGTATACAGTTAGCTCTATCATCCATATTGAAAGACTACAGGTCTCAGGCCAGATTTTTTAGCAAGAAACTCACTTTAATTTATAGAAGTCATCAGAGATATCTCACTCCCGATAGCTAATCAAGTAGCTTAAATTACTCCCTTAGAGTTGAGCCAATACTTAACCGACTACCGAAAGCAGATCAGTTTTCGCAACGAAATCCCGAGAGTGAATTAAGTCTGCCAACCGCAACATTCTAAATATAACTGCGGTTCTATGTGAGTCGCAACCTACGCGGGAAGACATCATGTGACCAGCGTGAGATTCTGTTGTAGAGAAGTCGAAATAGAATAGCATCGAAGAGTTCGAGAGTTGAGCCAATACTTAACCGACTCCCGAAAGCAGATCAGTTTTCGCAACGAAATCCCGAGAGTGGATTAAGTCTGCCAACCGCAACATTCTAAATATAACTGCGGTTCTACGTGAGTCGCAACCTACGCGGGAAGACATCATGTGACCAGCGTGAGATTCTGTTGTAGAGAAGTCGAAATAGAATAGCATCGAAGAGTTGAAGTGTTCTGCAAAAAAAATTATCATACTGACCATATGAGTTTTTACCCTGGCCAGTCCAAATGGCTGAACACTAGCACAAATACCTTGAGTATAAAACCAAAGGTGAGATAAGAAATATACATACATTTGTACTTTTTAAAGTCTACTACATTACACTATAACACATATACTTTCGAATATCTCGTACTTTACCCACTATGATACGATGTAGTGTACCAGCAACTAGCGTACTCTGCTGATCCATCCATTTGAAATGAAACCATTTGGGTCATAAGCTTTAGTGTAGTACTGTTTGTGTTTCGTGCAATCTGTAATTCGTAGTATTTTTGAACGGACGAGCTAGTCGTATGAGCATAAGTTCCATGAATATGGGTGGCTCTAAATCCGTATGGTTCAATTTTCTGTCACCTAAATCAAAGTTGTCGGAAAGTAGATATTTGTATGGTTTACCTCTACTTCAAAACCATCTTTGTAGGGGTGCCATATGTTGAATTTGTTGTCGTGTACAAATGATATATGTGGAAAAACTATTTCCAATTTTGTAAGATTACTGGACAATGGGTTGATACGGATGGTCATTTACTGTGCTACGTTTGTGCAAAATAGTCAGCCAACTTTTGATGTGGGTTGAAAATTTATTTCACTCCTTCTCTATCAATGCCTGTTAAACCGTGTAAATCCGCACGATGCACATCTCAGAACATTTACTTTGCGAGGATTCATTGCATTAAGCGTAAGCTAAGCATTCTTTAATAGCTATATGAGATACAACGTGTGATCATTGTGATAGGAGCAGCTCGTCGATATCACTCTCACTTGATGCTACTGCTATTCGACTGAGGCATGCTTATTTGCGTAATTAATTTTTACAAGGTATGCTGCACAGTTATTTAAGATTATACCGGTAGAATTATCGACGTCATTATTGTCATTACTTTATCTGCTGTTCGTGCTTGGATGAATTGATTCTTTGCATGCATCGTCATGCACTGAATAATTGGCCGTGCGTGCATAGTTGTTTCTTTGCAGTCGAGCGATGTGTTTTGCTATATCGAGTGTTTCTGTTCTGGATCGCATGCAAGTATTAGCTTGAGTATTTTGATCCAATATTTGAAGCTCCGAGCAGCTGATAAGTTAGAGTGATCGCCAACATTGACTCTAAATTTGGTCCGCATGCTACGTTGTGTACTGTTTTTAAAATAGCGTAATGATTGTTTGCATTTATGTATTCTTGATTTGGCGTTGTTTTGAGGAGACAAAGTATTTGAAC